ATGGTTGGAATTTTGTACATGATGAATGTTGGGGAAGAAGACCAGATTATTGTGATAAATGTGGATCTTCTCATACCTGTCTTAAGAGATCCCTTCAGGAATATTTATCTTGTACCTGCGGGTAAATTGTTGGTCTAAATTCTTTTTAACACTCATATTTAATTATTTTTTATCACAATTCTTTTTTTAATAATAATAATTGGAAATTCCACATACAGGTAGATTTTCCGCTTAGTTTCAGTCAATTAATAATCAGAATATAGAAGACAATGTAATAATCTATGTCTTACCAATTAGTGATAATGTAAATTTATCTTAATTAATTGATTTTAAAATTCTTTTTGAGCAATAATTAAAATTAATTAGTTTATGTTTTTTTTGTTTCAAGTTCCATTCTATATATATATATATTATTTCATAACATTATTGCCAATTTTTTTGTAACTCTAGATAATAATGTCTGACGAAACTATTTTAGCAATGATGAAATAGTTTTATTAATAAAATTGCAATTGGCAATAAAGAAATTTAATTTGAATAATAAAATATAAAAATGCAATTAAACTCTTTTGACAAGTTTCTTTATAATGACCTCTGGACATTCTGAATCTTAAAGTTGTTCAAAATTACAGATATTCCATTATCATAAGTTTCATTGGTTTATATGAAAACAATTCTTTAATTAACAGCGAACTTCTTCTATTAAATTGTCAGTTTATTAAAGTCAATTCCATAAATTAACAAGCTCACATAAAAATTAATTTTTAGCTTTACAATACATTGAATCTGAAGTCGATAAATTTATTATTAGTAGTTTCGTTCATCAGACTTCCAGATACATGCAGAAAACAGGAACAACCGTTCAAATACGTAGATTATTCCAATATGGTTACTGTTGTACCCAAACTACTTCTCAATTAGTTAAGGATAACAAACTAATTTCAGCATTATAATAGCTAAATGCCTTACATTCGAATAAACAGTATCAGGAATATTATATATATTCAAGAGAATTTATGTAATTTGCTTTTATGAAAAAGGTGCACAGTTAAATGTATATAAAGATACAAGTACCGTATAAATCTGAAACAATGCCCACCTGTGCGATGTGCATTATTTCGAGTATGTCTATGTGCGTTAAAATATATGCTAAGTAAATAATCCTTAATGTAATAAATATAGTTGCTTGCAAATGGATCTTGAAAAAAACGATTAACACTTTTCGAATGTAATCTATATGTAATTTTTTTATCCTTTAAATTAAAACATCTTGCATTTTATTTATTTGTTTGCTGAACTTTGTGACGGTGTAGTTAGTATTTCGTTTATATCTAATATATGATTTTGATGGCTATGTAACATTGATATAAATGTGTTAACTTTTTGAAATAAATCAAGTATAATCTAGTCAAGTTAATCATAATCTTACTGGTGTCACAAATTTCGAAATTTGTTACATTAGGGAGTTGAACTTCCCTCTTATTTGACGTCACTGATCACTACTATTTTTTGGGTCGTTTAAAGCCTGGAACCTTACGACATTACCTGATATGTGTCACGGATTATAATCCGAACAAAGCGACAAAGGCAAAAACACAAAAATATAAAAAATAGCTATCAAAATCGTTTTTGATGCACAAAGTAAAAGTGTCGGAAATGGGATTTTATAATATATCTATTAACCTTCCAGCAATGTCTAACCCTAACTCTAATATTAATTAAAAATCGGAAAAACCGAAGGTGACTGGCTTTACCGTAAACGTCCCCTACTTTTGGTCAAAGTGCACAATATTAAATTAGAAAAAATTCGAATGATCGAAATTCGAATAAAATTCGAACGTCCGTGTACTAGGAACGGAGTGATATTGAAAATTTCACGAAGTGTATGGTTATATTGCAAATTAAGTGGTGTATCTCTGCAAAATCTTGTATTTTATTGGATAATATATGTGGACATGAAGGAATGTGAGGGAATACATAGTATTTCTTCTGTATACAAGAACTTCTGCGCATGATTTGATCCGCATGTGAGTATATATTTATCGCTTTTCTCGTAATATGTGTCAAAAATACTGTATTCATGTATTCAAAGCAAAATTATACGCATAAGTGCAGCTATAAATTTTATAACAAATGATGGTGTTCAGACATAAATATCAGTGACCCGATTCAAATTTGAATATCTATTCACAGGATCTTTAGCATATTTTATTTTTCTTTATAGGATTTTTTGCTGGGTTGATGAAATCATAATGTTGCGCAAAAAGACGTAACAAAGTAACAATTAAACTTTTATTCGTGTAACCTTATAATAGTCTATGCGAAGTTTATAGCCGTAATGCATACTTAATTAGACTTTATATTGTTTTATACTACATGTATATAGCTTATTTGTAGTCTAATAATATATATATATAGACAGTAAGTATAGGGTTGGATCGGTTCGGTCCAGTACGTCCTGGTCCCTAATAAGACCGGTCCCAATATATCTATCGGTCCCGTTCAGTCAGTCCCCGGTCTCAAAATTAAACTATTTTCACGTGAGTAAATTAGCAGATTATCTATCGTTATCAGTACAGCATTATCAATCACTAACGATAAATTTTAAAATGCAAGTTATACAGTAACAATTTTCTAATATAATTTATACTATCTAGTCTGTTAAACTTTAAGCAACAAATAACGATAATTTGTATTTTGAATCTTGAAGCAAATACAAATTTTAGTACGTACATTAGCAAATTGATTTATGTATGCTTAATATGTTAACAAATCTCTTGGTCAATCCAACTTTGTAAACATAAAACTGTACGTGCAGTTTCCTCCTCCAATCTAGCTCGCATTGGTGAAATTGTCTGCTCAGCTACTGAAAATGCCCATTCTGAAGCAACACTAGTTGCTTGGATAGACAGATAATCCCGGGCAATTAGGCATAATCTTGGAAATTCTTTTTGCTGCATTTGCCACCACAATAATGGATCAATATGTTCTTCTAAAGGCAATGCCATATATCTCCTTATTTCATTCCAGATATGATTTGTTAAAGATGAATCTAATGTTCTATTACTTTCTTGTTGTATAGGTGTTAATGTATTAGAAAAAAAAGATGCTGGGGTATTATTCTGTAATTGGCAAAAATAATTTTGTGTGTTTATTAAGTCATTAGCACAAGATGGTGTAGTTGGTTGTAATGCTGCAACGTATTCATTTAAGTTTGATATTAAACGAATTGCTTTAGTTTTTTTGTACTCATCTTTAAATGTTGATAACCTTATTCTTGGATCAAGGAATGCTGAGATCTGTGAAGTTTCATCCAGAATTGTTCAATAACGTTCCAATTTTTGATAAATGGCACTTGCCATAGAGCTTTGTGAAAAGGTAACTTGATTCATATGTCTAATTAAATGTTCTTGAATACTTAGAAAAATAAAGCAAACATCTACATGAGTTGGCTAGCTAGAAGCCGAAAGAAACCGAGTTGCATGTTCAAAAGGTTCTAGAAGAATCATTATATCCTTTTATATTAAGATTGATGTTATATTATTATTTATTATTATTATTTTTTAACAATAAATTTTTAAAATGAATTCAAAGCTAGTTATTTACTTACATTGATATTACAACAATAATCAGCATTTGGATATTGTTAATTAACAAGTTGATGGTCAGCAGCGAGCAAGTTAAGAGCAGGTTCCATACGTTTCCACTTTTCTAACATATAGAATGTCAAGTTCCACCTGGTTTTAATATCAATTTCAGGTTTTAAGTAATTGATATTCTTGAGATTACATAATTCTTTCAGAGTATTATTTATTGGATATGAACTCTTTATAAATAACATTAATGATCATATTTTAGTAATAGTTCTATCAACTAATTCAATGCCTTGTGAGACTGCCAAATTCAAAACATGAGCGGCACATCTATAGTGGGAAAAATTAAGATTGTCAAATTCTTTTTCAAGCTCTTCTGCCATAGATGCACCGCATATGATCATTGATGAGGTGTTGTCAGTAGTCAAGGCAAGGGCTTTATTTGTTAAATTAAATTCACGTAGTGAATTCATTATTGCATTACTCATATTAACACCAGTGTGTCGAACTGTCATTAGAATAATGTCAAGCAAAAAATGCTTTAATCTCCAGGAAGAATCAATGTAATGAATGGTCAAACTAAGAAATGCTGAGCCATTTGATGCAGTCCACATATCCGAGGTAAATGATACTTTACCAGGGATATTGTTTATTACTAATTTTATTTGTTCTTTTTTTTTATCATATAAAGATAAAATGAAATTCTTTATTGTATGTCGACTATGAAATTTGTAATGAGGATCAAATTTTGCAATTATATGTCGCTATGCCTTGTTTTCTACAGCACTAAATGATTGCGCATCACTTATAATCCACTTCACAACAACATTATTATGTTCTTGCTGTTCATTTACTGAATAAGGTATATCATAATAATTTTTTTTTTTGCACTTGTTTTGGTGCTATGATTTTATGAGACTCTAAATGTCACCTTAAGGATGTAGTTGCAGTTGTTGATTCAAATTCAGCACCACATATATCACAAACAGGTTGATCAGGATATTCATTTGTATCAGTTTTAAAATAATTCCATACAGATGACTTTAAACATCCTCCTTTGTTTTGTGATTGTGATTTTGTTGACTATAACTGATTTGATTTAGCAGAATTAGATGTGCTTGATAATTCATTATTTTGATGGCTTGGTAGACTTGGAAAAGTGGAATTAGGTATGCTTGATGATCTGTTTTCTTGATGGCTAGATGTATTCATAAAGGTATCATTTTCATTT